GCTAAGCGCTAACGGCTGCCACACGCCACCGGCCGCTAAGCGCTAACGGCTGCCACACGCCACCGGCCGCTAAGCGCTAACGGCTGCCACACGCCACCGGCCGCTAAGCGCTAACGGCTGCCACACGCCACCGGCCGCTAAGCGCTAACGGCTGCTGAACCGGTGATGGTTGCAGTGACCTGGTCAGGATTCTGTCCTGCTGGAAGCTGCTGGGAATAATTTCAAGTTTTGTGAGGAGAACAATTTGAACTTTGGGTTCTGGTGGAGCCGTGTAAAACGCATCAGAAACTTCTGAGGTGTGTAAAGAGAAAATGGAGAAAGCAAAATAGAATTACATTTTTCTATCTTTTCTATGGACAAAAAGCTGTGGTAAAGCAAAAAGCAGGGAGTAAATTGCCAGGTGCAGGAGATGAGATTGAATGAGGAAGAGCTGTTGGTGTGCAGAGATGAAAGGGCTTAAGCGAAGCGACGGGAGGAGAAGAGCGAGAATATTAGAGCGAGAGGCTGAAAGCAGCAGCGAGTTTGAAAAGAGGCAACGGATGGACTCTGGCAGATTAAAAGGAACTGGGGGAAATTACAGGAATCACACAAAACCTGCCACCGTGTGCTGCAGACTGGTTACTGGTTACTGGTCCAGACTGGACCAGCTACAGGCGAGTGGAAGGGTCAGAGGTTAAATGTCATTAGGCCTGTCATGATAAATGTTGCTGGATGATAAATTGTCCCAGGAATTGTTGAGATAAATAATAATGTCGTTTCGTAATAATGCAACCCTGTGAAAGATGAATGACATTTAATTTTGTACACAAAACATTTTAAACATCCAAAATAAAACACAATAAATTATAAGGAAATAAAAACCACAAATTACTGAAACTATAAATAAAACAAAAACAAAATTGCTTTTAAAAAAGGAATCAATTATTGAGCTCGTTTTGTTTTGTAATAATTGCTTTTGTGGCTTATATGTAATAATATAATCTTTCTCTCTGCTTCCTGTCTGTCGCTCATTTATTGGTCTCATTGATGAACATTTGTCATCAAATCTTATCTAAATAATACAAAAGTTAAATGACCCAAAACGTTTGCCGTGTTTAACTCGGGTAAAGGAATGTTTAGGTTTGTGTTTTAGTACCGAGTCAAACGGCTCATATTCTCTTTATGTGAGCAAAGGCAGATATAAGTTTGTACTTTCTGCTCATTTTCATTCATTCATGGTTTCTTTTGGTTACTTGAACTAAAAACTAACATGGAAAATTTTTATCATCACTGATGATCCTAAAACCTGCAGATCAAAGTTTTCTGATTCTGGTTTGTTTCCCTCCAGCAGCGTGTGACCACACTGCCCCCTGGTGACTGAGAGTGTAATGGTTTCCAGAAAACTGTGTGTGTGTGTGTGTGTGTGTGTGTGTTTGACCTGCTGCCTGTTTGCTCCTCCCAGACGGCCCTCCTGAACAAACACCTGAGCTCTCTGATGCCGGGCCTGACTGCCAAGGTGTTCAGGACGTACAACGCCTCCATCACCCTGCAGCAGCAGCTGCAGCAGCTCACCAACAGTAAGCAGCTCCGTCGGACCGGCCGCCGCCGCTCAGACCGCCACACCTGAGACCACTAATTGTAGCTTCTCCCAGACATCTGAGCGTCGGCCAGCAGCAGATTATCTCAGCGGAACCTCGACCCGACTCCATCACAGAGAGTCGGGTCGTCTCTTTTCTGGAGTCACTGACGCAGGGGGGGATATTCAGCTTTTAGAAACATAAACATCAGTTCAGAACTGCTTCCATGTGTTACAGTGAGAGGTGAAGCTGCTGCATCATGTTTAAAACTGCAGGTTGATGAAACTTTTATGAAAATATTTTTACACATCTGTCTCATCCTGTCACTGTCGTGCCAGTTTGAGACAACCTGAAAAAAACTAAATCAAGCTTCTCCGCCTTCTCTCTGTGCTAAGTAGAAACGACCAATCAGAGCCTGGAGGCGGGTCTTAGCGCTGTCAGTCACCCCTCTGTGTGGCGCTGCTCAATCCCGTTCCTTCACCCTCTTACCCCCCTTTGCTCTCTGCTAAGCTTAGTTAGCATAGCCACTGATGATGACGACAGATAAACGGTTTCCCTGGACGGCAAGTTGTTTCTCCACCCTTAGCACATTTAGCAGCGAGTACATGAGGTGATTGACGGCGCTAAGCTCGTCCTGTCTCTGATTGGTTGCTTTTGGTTCAGTAGCTGCTCAGCGAAGTCGATCTGTTCAGATTATGTCTTATAAACTGTCACAACATGGAGACGGTTTGAATTCTATGTAAAAACGTTTTTATAAAAGTTTCATCCTGCAGCTGATCTTAAATCTTGTTCCTCCTGCAGAGTCTGACAACGTGGCGGAGAAACTGCTGTCCTACAACAGAGCCAACAGAGCCGTCGCTATTCTCTGCAACCACCAGCGGGCGCCGCCAAAAACCTTCGAACAGTCGATGGCCAACCTGCACTCCAAGGTGAGCTCCAGGTCAGCCCGGCCAATCAGTCGCTCTGACAGCGTCCATGATTAAAGCTGCGACCTGATTGGTTAGAGAGAGCATCCTCTGGGGGAAAATGGGTCGGTCCAGGCGGAGGGAAACGGTCAGCGCCGCTCGAATGACTTTAGAGGAATCCTCGACTAGAACATGTTGGACTGAATGTCGTTTTTCCTACCTACACGTTGTTTTTCATTTAATTGCTTTGTAGCACGTAGCATACATCAACTACCCAGAATGCATCAGTGTAATCTACATGGTGACATCTGTGTGACTGTATTTAATAGAAATTTATATAATCTAAACAACTTAGTGCATTTTTACTGTATTATTTTTACATTGGGGGGAAAAAATTCATAAAATCTGTTCCTACTAATAAAATGGGAACCATTAAAGTAGCATTTAAATGGATCAGAGTTCAGCCAGCGTTTAGCTAATCTCCATGTTTTTCATGCACTGCTATAATTTTAGAGCTCGTTATTCTCTGTGGTTATGAGAAATGATCCTGTCTCCCCTCCCCAGATTGTTGCTAGAAAGGAGCAGCTGGCTCTAGCCAAGACGGAACTGAAACTGGCCAAGAAGGAACTGAAAACCAGAGGCAGCCCGGACAGCAAGCTGCAGAGGTGGAAACATCTAAACATCATCGTCATCATTATATTGATACTTTAGCTGCTATTGGACTGTTTTACACTTCATCAGCATCGCAGCCAATGAGCTCGGAGACATTCAGATGTTTAAAACATTTTCTCCTCAGGATGCAGAAAAACCTGTTTTAATGGTTTTAGAGTCAGTTGGTCCAACACTGACACACCGCTAACGGTGTTAGCATTAGCGGTTTGTCCTGTTTGGCGTCAGTGTGAGTAGCACTGACACACCGCTAACAGAGTTAGCGGTGTGTGAGGTTTGTCCTGTTTGGCGTCAGCGTTGTGGACAGGAAGGCGGCGGCGGTGAAGCGCTGTGAGGACCAGCTGCTGAAGATGGAGGTCCAGGCGACGGACAGAGAGGAGAACAAGCAGATCGCCCTCGGTACCTCCAAGCTGAACTACCTGGACCCGCGGATCAGCGTGGCCTGGTGAGCAAAAACCGACCCGGTTCTGGTTCTGCTGAAGCTTTCAGCGTTAAACCTTCTGGTTCAGTTCAGGGTTCTGCCTTAAAGTCATTTATCAGCTTCTAAGTATTTAAACAAAATAGGAATTGTAATTTTTAGGCAGTTTGATTTTGAAACACAAAAATCAACATTTCAGAACTGTTTTTAAGTGAAATGTTGACTCATTCAGAAAATAAAGAATTTCTCCATAAATGTGTCCTCTGGGTCAGTGGTGCCAAAACTTTGACTTATTTTTGCTCACTGGGCTCCAAAAGTTGTTTTTTTACTCATCAAATATTTCATTATTTTAATGAAACAAAGCAGTTATTTTGTAGAAAAGTAATTTTAAAACAAGTGCAGAAAGTCCTGAAATTTCTGCTTGTTGAAAATACAAACTTCTTCAGTCTGTCAGGTAACTGAAAACATCTGCATCATTTCAATCAGATCTCCAGATGTTTCTGTTCCTGCTTACTAGGGAATTAAAGCAACAAAATCTATTGAAACGCATCGACACTAAAACATTTCTGGATGGAATAAAGCATCACTGATCATAAACTGCTGTAATGATTCTTTAGTCAAAGATAATCCATTCAGATTTCTTATGGAGAAATTACACTTTTTAATCGAATGTTATTTTATCACGAGCGTCTCAGTCTCAATGTTTTAAATAAATCAGGTTTGGTTCTGGACAAACGGGTCGTAACAAACCGCAGGTTGAGAATAAAGCCACTCAGACTTGCTTTGCTCAGAAACAGTTTATTTCTGTTTGGACATTTCGTGTGGAAGTGAAAAGTTTTACGTTTTTCTGTTTGGTCAGGTGTAAGAACATGGACGTACCCATAGAAAAGATCTACAATAAAACCCAGCGGGAGAAGTTCGCCTGGGCCATCGACATGACGGAGGCCGACTTTGAGTTCTGACCCGGAACCACAACCCGACCCGGACCAGTTACTTTATTAGTAGTCAGTACTTTATCATCCTGTTTCTGTTTTTTTGCACTGTAGATGTGATCAAGCTTTGCCTCAATGTTGCTTTAATGCTAATTTGTTTGCTTTTGGCACTTAATTTCAATAACTGCTGTTGGTTGGTTGATGTGCATTTGATTTGAATTAATCTCAATAAAGGCTCATAATTTGCATGAAAAATGTAAATAAAGTTTGTCAGAAGCCTGAATTTTTAAAATGTTGTAAAATGTGATTTTTGATCTTTGTGGAGATGATGGAGTCTCATTTTCTTTTTTTCAATAAATTCATCATGGGAGATGATTTAAACCGTTTGTTTAGGTGTGAATAATTCATGCAGGAGTTTATTGGCTTTAATTTAAATACTTAAAATGAATAAAAATAGAATAAGATGAGGAGCGACTCTCCTGGTCAGGCTGGTGGAAACATTAGAAAAACACAAAGCACCTTAGAGTTGTTGAGTTTCTTCATTACTAAGCAAATAGTTAAATATTAAGCACAGATTACAAACTTCAGTGTTAGAACATTAGGAGTGGAATGCGTCCGTCTGCAGGGTTACTGGTTCTGACCCAGTAGCGTCCACCTCCAATAATCAATCATCTCTGCCTAAAAAGGTTCAGGACACATTAAACTAGTCTATCTTACAATGTTCAGCTCTTCAAGTCATTCACTGGAACCGTTTCACAAAACTCAATATATAAAAAAAGCATTTCACACAACATGACACCAACAAGTCAATTTCAGTGGAAAAGTTCTGCTGCTCCCGGGTCCAGGACCAACGTCGGGCCGCCAGGAGCCTGAGGGCAGAAGAGAAACCGGCTTACAATCCTCCATCACATGACTAAACATTTCATTTCCAGGAGTTAAAATTACTGGATGATCAGTGTCAGTCTGGCGCTTTGGTCTCGACTAAACCTTTTTCTGAAGACTTAATAGTTAAATTTGTTTTATTTAAAATGCCTTCCAGATCCAGTGGATTCTAACAAACTTTAAATTTGTTGGAATTTAAAGTTCTTTGATCTTTGAAAATATTTTTTGGTCTCAAAACAATATTATCGTTTATCGCAATAATTTCTGGGACAATTTAACATCCAGCAAAGTTTGTTGCCGTGTCAGACTTCGTTTTGGTTTCTTACTTTCATTTCTTTGACTTTTTGTCTTCAGTTAGCTTCTCTTAATTTTGTGGGTCTGTTTTTATTCAAGAAGTTTTTGTTTTTTGATACTTTGGTTAATTTTTAGGTGCAGCGTTCAAAAAGGTCAAAGAATCCATTTTTGAAAATGTTCTAGTTAATTTATCTATGCAAAATCTCAGTGCAGTTATTGTTGAATAAACGGCTGATTGGAGTTTTCTCCAACTTCTGCTGTCACCATTTTGGGGGCTAGCGTAGCGTAGCCACCAGGAGGAACATGGAGGGCTGCGATTTCCCACACTAGCAGCTGACAAACTGCTAGGGTGGGAAAAAAATTATCAGTTTGAATAGATTCATAAACACAAAAATGAAGGACTCTGTTTTAGTTTTATAAAAGCACAATATAATTCCAGTTAGTTACAGTTTTTCCCCATTAATTTTTATTCCAGTTCATGAAAATGTTTTCTCAATTTCAGTTTTGGTTAGTTTTAGTTAACTACGATAACCTTGAGACAGAGCTGGTGAGGAACATGAAGTCCCAGCAGGAGCCTGAAGGGGGCGCCGCTCCCTCTCACCTTCATGACGACCCCTGGCTCTCTTTGGGCTTCTCCGGCGCCGCCTCGATCTCCTCCACCCCGGCCTGGGTCATCAGGTCGGCGATGTTCTTCTCCAGGTCGTCGATGCGTGTGCTCATCTCATCAAGTGAGCAGCAAGTTAAGGTTCATCATTTAGAGCTTTGGATAAATCTAGATTATTTTTCTACGCTAATCTGCCGCAGCAGCCATGTTTAGGATATTCCTGCCGATGATCTGGTCCGACATCGTCTGAAACTTATCCTGCATCTGCTGCAGCAAAGTCTGGACCTGCAGAGATAAAACCCGCTGCAATTAAAGCTACGTTTGATTTCTGCTCTGCAGGGAGAATCATCAGGACTGACTGGCGCCACCCGGAGGACAGGTCAAAGGTCAGCTAAATATTATTACGGTTGCCAATTATTCTGACAGATATTTCTTTCATTTAATCACTTAAGCTTACTTAAAACAATATTAGAAATACATTAAAAATACAAATTCCTTTTTAAATGCATCAGCAGCAACTTTTTATCATTTGTAGCAAAAGACGCAAGTATAAAAAATCCTAAATGAAAAGCTGAGGCCTTTCTGACCTGGAGATTATTTTATGTTAACTGGATGAAAAGGTGAGTTTCCTTAACCTAATGTGAACCAGGGTAAAACCCTGTAGTAGGTTAAAACCCACTTGAGTTCTGGGTAAAACAGATTTACAGTTTTTTTCATCTTAAATACAAAATGTTGATATTTTTGTACAGTTTTGGCTTCATTATTGCTGACTGGGGTTTTCAACAAACAGCCTGTTTTTGATTGGTTGATGATGAATCATTTCACTCACATCATGTTTAGACATTCACCTGCAGGGCGGCGCTACAGATACACTAAACATCAACCAAACAAATCCCATATTTACACTAATTCACCTTTTTCTTCCTCTTCAGAAAAACACTGCATGTTTACAAGAAAACCTTGTGTTTTTAGATTTAAATTGTCTTCAGGAGCAAACGGTAAAATTCCTCGTTTATTTGCTCAGCCTTGGAGAATAAATCGGATTCTTCTCCCACTCCACAGAACCAAAGCCTCGGGTCACTTTCTTTTTAGAAAAGGACAAAAAAAATGGTCATCAGCTTGTTTCCATGCCGACAATGGAAAAGATGGGTAACCATGGAAATGCCTCTTTAGTTCACCTCTACAGGTTTACATGAAAGCCCATTCTGTCAGTTACCGATCTCTAATCTTACTCTGTTGCTAAATACATAAATAGTTTCTACTAATTTAGACTTAAACAAAAACTAATATAATTGATAAATGCAGAAAAAAACTGATTTCAAAACTTACATAATGACAAGCACTGCATGACGCATCAAAACAGTGTGACTTTGCAAATGAAAACAATATTTAGTCAAATCAAAATAAAACCTTTCCCTGTCCTTTATGCTCAGATCTGATGAAGAGCTGAAGCTTCATCAACCGAGGAAGAGGAGGGTCAGAGTCGTGTTCCTGACTCCATCCAGCCTCTGAGTTTCCACAGCAACGTGTCGTTCAGTTTTTTAAAAATGGCAGCAAATTGATTTCATTGGCAGGTTGGGTAAAATCGTCAAGGTGACGGGACCAGAGGAGTTTCCTAAAGGGTCAAACTGATGGTGACTGGGTGGGAGCAACGCCGACCTTCAGTCTGCACTGGTCAGTGTCACAGCTGCACAACATGCAAAGGAATGGGAATTCAAAACTCAATGCAAATGTGATTCATTTATCCCAGAGGGATTAAATGTGGATGGTGATGCTGGGAGACGGCCACTGCTGATCCACTTCCTTTGCTTTTGCTCCTCTTTAGATCACCTTCAAGCCATGAGGTTGGAGGGATGTTGGACTCGGGGAAGAGATGGTTTGAACTCCCTCCTCTGTCTGCATCCATGAAACCTCCATGCAACTCCTCTGAGATTTGAGGTCAAAGGTCAGGTATTTGAGGTTTAGAGATGGTCCCTGTTCTAAAAACAACACGTGGTTGCCATGTGATACCGTGTTGACAGTAGACTGTCATGTTTCATTTAATCTCCGCTGGTCAACATGCTCAACTTTACGCCTACACCTGACGCTTGAATCAACTCCATCTCCATGAAACAGCAGACACCTGACTAAAGAGCTCTGTAGACTGTAGAGTAACTATTACAGATTTAATTTACTAATTAAAATGGACATCAACTCAGAGTTTAACACTAATGTGTTAAATCACAGAATAAAAAGCTCCGCAGTTTGGATCCAATAAATGACATGTAGCGGTTAATTTGAACAGAATTTAATACAGGTGTTGGATTTTTATAAACGCAGACTTAACGGACATGTTAGCATGTGAACATTTCACACCTAATTCGGAATAACAGCTGATAATTTCTGTCACTTTCGGGTTAAACTCTGGGACCTAGCCTAGCTCCGTTAGCATTCCTGTTAGCATCGTTAGCTAGCCTTGCGTCACGACTCACCACATTGGTGAGGTCCTGCACTGACTTCGGGTCCGTCTCAGCCATGGCGTCCAACGAGCTGGAAACAAAGTTTTCAGGGGGCTGAAACTCAGCTATGAGGCCGCAGCTTTGCTGTTGAATCGGTAACTGGTCGCAAGTACCTCTAGCCACCCACTCAGCTGTTCCACAACAAACGAAGTCTCGTGAGAAGAACTGGCTCTCGATGCTAATATAAATCAGCATAGAAATGATACAGTAGATGCTGCATTCCCCTCACAAATGGTACGTCAGCGAGTCCGACATGTTATGAGTGGCAAGTTTTCCTGTAAAATCAAAATAAGTTCAGTTGGGAACACAAATGTGAATTACACGGTATTTCTGTGTAGTTAGAGTAAATTTCCACCAACACCTTCAGATTTTTAGTTTAATTACACATATTTGCCATTAAAAAAAAAAAAAAAAAAAAAGAAAATCAATGATTAGGGCACGGGTGCTCAAGTTCAGTCCTCCAGAGCTTCCATCCTGCAACTTGCAGATGCATCCCTGCTCCATCACACCTGAATCAAATGAATGGCTTGTTACCAGGCCTGTTTAGAGCTGATCCCGGTGTGTTGAATACTTCTAAAAGTTACAGGATGGTAGCTCTCGAAGACTGGACTTAAGCACTCCTGGACTAGAGGTATACTTTTCTGACATTTAAACTTTTCAGGAAAGAAATGAAGTTTGATATTTTAAGTCAGATATTTCTGACAAAAACACCAGAAGTCCTCCAAGATTTAAGTGGTTAATTTGCAGGATCTGCATCGACTTTTTGGTAATAGAACATTTCCTACCATTTTTTCTGGAAAACATGTGACATTAATCTAAAAGTTTTTTCTTGTAAATTTGCAACTTTCCATCATTGGATAATTTGTTCATTTTTTCCTTCAAAATTTGTGACATTGATCTCAAACACCCTCAGGTTTTTCGAGCAAATTTATTACTTTCCAACATGAGACAGTTTCTTCCTTCTTTCTTGAAAATGTGTGAAATATAAAAAAAAAAGTTTAGTTTTTATTTTTTTGGGTGAGGTGTACTCCTTTTTTATGTTCATTATACCGTCGCTTTGATCGCCTTAGGCAGATTTCTTTTATATGTCTAAGACGACACTGCCACTCACAATATGGCAGCTAGTTGGTGGCATCTACTCGTGTATGTCTGTGTGTAAGACGGAGATTTGGAAAGGGAACATGATTCCTCTTGTTTTGTTGATCCCTCCAGCCTGAAGAACATCCTGTAATTAAGGTGTTTATTCTTCTCTTAATCCCTCCTCCTAAAAACTGCTTCAAAAATTATTTCAGACCGAGAAATTAAAAGATTAAAAACTTTTCGGAGTGATGACCGTGTGTGCGCGCGCCTGTGTGCGTCGGGTCGCGCGCTCGCCACTCCGGTTTGAGAGTTGAGATTTGAAAGTTGGAGCAGCAGAGAGGATCCGGTTCGGTGGTTCCAGACCGCAGGAAGGTGGATGAGGAGGAAGGTGAGTGGAGCTGCTGACTCAAAGTTCCCACAATCTTCTACAGTTTGGAGAAATTATGAACTTCAGAGGATTTCAGACCCGGCTGACCCGAGTAATAAGAAATAATTTGATGTTCGTGTTTTGGTGTCTGTTGGTTCTGTGTTGGAAGAGGTTCGGGCATGTTGGCCCTTCCCCTTTAAACTATGCTTTGGTTACCTGACCCAGCCTGTTCTGATCGGTCCAGCCCAGCTCCCCTGCTGGGTTTATTCTCACAGAAACCAACCGGGCTGTTCAACTCCTGTCTAATATTTAACTTTATAAACTCGGTGATTTAAATCCATGCTGCAGCTTTGCATCGTTATCTTTTTAAATCTTCCTCTTTACAGCCGCACATTAAAGTTCTCCATAACTTTAGAGGTAAAATAAAACCACAGAGCCTTGATGTTTCCGTCCAGCCCGGGTTAAAGAACATTTTTATTGGATTCAATCTGGAGCCGCTCTGTGCAGCAGCTGAAGCGCAGTAAGCCCTTCATATCTCCAGGCTGATGTTGAAACCTAAAATAAGCAGGCAGTGCAGGCCAGGCCCGTCTCAGGTTTCCTCCTGTCCTTTCACAGAATCTGGAGCTCTGCTTCTAAACAGCAGCTTGTTCATGGAATAAAACCCATTACAGAGAAACCAGCGGAAAAACACGGAGCAACGTTAAACTCTGCTGTGTGAAGCAGTTGGAGTCTGTTATAGGAGGAGACCCTGGCTTCTTATCTGACCCCTCCAACCCAGACCCCCCACCGACCCCCGCCCATGATGCTGCCTTCACTGACTGTTGGCCTCCTGACCGTTCCCTGGACTCCATGTTAGTTTATCCTTTCTCCTTTTCCAGATCTTTAACTTCTGTTTCCAGCTCATCATTTTCACTCTGCCATGTTGCTGCTGAGTCATAAATAATGCTATCAAACTTGATGACATCTGATGCGTCACCATGGAAACAAGCTATTGTTTTTGTAACTGGCAACAGCTGATTTGCATCTAAAAGCTGAAACAATACCTGAACTTTGACCCCAAAGCCCAGAGGAGTTGAAAAGTTCAAACCATCTCTTCCATCCATCTTCATCCTCAACTTCTTCTGTCAATCTCAGACTCAAAAAGAAGCGGCAAATGCAAAAGAGGTGGATTAGCAGAACAACTGATGTCATCCAGGACAAGTTACTGTCTCTGCTGCCCAGATGTTGGGTTATACTAAGATACTAGCGGGGGGAGTAACGTAATTAGACTACCGTAAACCCGGGGAGAGAGAAGCTAACGTGAGGGCGGGGGCACAATACGGGATATTTACGGGAAACATGGGAGCACGGCGGGAGAGGGAGGTAAAATACATCAGTTTCCCGGAAACGACGGGAGATTTCAGGTATGTGGCGGACACAAACCCAGGAAGGATCAATGGACTTATTCTGAAGAGGCTAAAACCATTTTAGAGGAACTGAATTGTTGGAGACGATGGTAAATATGGATTTAAACCTGGTGGATAAAACATTGAGTAAACGGAACCTGATGGCTCACCCCGCTGACAGTTTTTAAAGACAGGTTATGTAATATGTATACAAAGTTACAATCGGCTTGGGATAAATAAATTTCACAGTAAGCTTAACGTTTTCCATATAGCTTCTGGCGCATGTGGGCGCTAACGTCTAAAGTTAGCTTGGTTGCGCTATGTTACCTCGTTCACTTAATATGTAAAACGTGCGGGGTTTACGGCTGGGCTGCCTTGTAAAATACTGAAACGTCTTTTTATGTCAGCTAAACGTCGCTGAGACACAGGAAATGTTGAGGCCAGTAAAACTGTCATGGCGGGACGTACGAATCCCGGACCCGCTACGGACCGTCGCTGCCGACAGGCGCTGACGTCACGGTTGCCTAGAGACGGAAAACATCTGCGCCTTTTTTTAACGTCCGCCGGAACAACTCTCGCAAAAATAGACGTGAGTAGGAAAATGGTTGAGCAGCGTCAGCGAGGATGAATATAAGCAAAAGAAATTTAAAATGTTATGATTTATGCCGTTTCCTGTTGTGCTTTCAGTAGAATATTGTTTGACTATCTGGAATCCTTGAATGATGAGTTTGAATAAGCATTCATATAAATATAAATGACACTTTAAAGAGAAATCATACTCGTAGATGGACACAAATAAATAAATGGTATGAAGGGATTATTTTGTTGGGCTCGTTTTAGGGAAATATCAGTAATTTTTAGAAAGACAGTGTTCAGTGATCATTTCAGAAACATTATTTTATTCATGTGGTTTAACTGTTAGGATCACCTGACCTCCCATCAAGCCATAAATGCTGTTCAATTTAATTAACAATTAGTTCATGCTCCTGAGAAATGAAGCCAAAGAGAGAATGTTTCTGGCTTTTTAGAGTAATTATTTCCACTGAAAAACACTTTAATCTGATGGTTGAACAGATTAAACCTGTTCTCATCTTTTATATGGAGCTCATGTGTTTATTTAAATGGCAGCAAAATGGTTGTTGAATTAGATGTTGCTTATTTTGTCGATTTAAGGATGTGATTCATTAATTACTGACCTCATCTATTTATCAACAATAAGACATATTTATAGTTTTTATGTAACTCTGTCATAGACAGTCCTGGAAAAACAAAATCATTTGTAATATGTTTCTTTAGGACACCAGTCACATGAAGAAGTGTGATTTGTGCCACTGAACTCCACACAGTCAATGCAGTCAATCTTATTTTCAAACTTATTGATATTTATTGGTACTCCATAAACAAACAACATAGAAAATAGTAAAACTTATAATCCTGACAGTACAGACAACTTTTAGGGGTTTTAAAACCATTAATTGGAATTTATCTTGACAAATTCTTATCATGATAAATGACTATCCCAACTCAAAACCTCTAAAATAGCATGTTTTCTGGATGAACTTTATGCTCACAAGCAAAAGCTGTGGTTGCATCAGTGGTTTTGCTCCCTGCTCAACTATTTCTCTATTTTTTTTAATCAATAAATCATTCTGTTTAAATTGAACCTGTTTAATGTATTTAATCCAGTTTGTTCATTCCACACCAGTTAGAAATAACATCTGGAATCCTCCTTCGTTCCTCCTTCAGGACCTGTGGACACGCTGAGCGCCGATCGGAGCGATGGAGGCCGAGGTGTTCATCCAGGCGGAGGACGCAGACGGCTCCTGGACGCTGCTGTCCCTGCTGGCGTCCGTCGTCATGGTGTTCGGCGGCGCCCTGCCTTACGTCCCGCAGTACCAGGAGATCCAGAGGAGCAGCAACACCGAGGGCTTCTCCACCAGGGTGTGCCTGGTCCTGCTTGTAGCCAACATCCTGCGGATATTCTTCTGGTAGAGAAGAGAAGCTATTAAAACTGACAAAACCCCCGTATGAATCTGCGGCTCAGTTATGATGCGTTTCTGTTGCAGGATAGGGAAGCAGTTCGAGGTGACGCTGCTGCTTCAGAGTGTGGTGATGATTGTCACCATGTTCGCCATGCTGCACCTCTGCTGCTCCGTCCACAGCTCCAACCGGGTCAGCACCAAGCAGCACCGGCTGACAGGTACGACCACAGGAAGACGCTTTGGCACCACAGATCACCTCAAAAACACAAAATATAGATCATTTAAAAACTGCAGATCACTTCTCGGTGTTCTAGGCCTTCTTTTTCCCGGACCAGTCCACTTTTCCCAGTCTGTCCAGGGAGATCAGGGGGCGTTCAATGACTGATGAAAATCTCAGCGTTTTAATTTTTCAGGGGACTAATGGGCACAAATTTAGGAAAGAATCCGTTCAAGAAATGACTGAGTTAAATGGTTTTTGGTAAAAAGGCGACTCAAGAACTGAGTAACATTTCATTTGATATTTAAAATTATGTCATCAGACAAACAAATAATATAAGGTTATGTATATATTCTGGTATTTTAAAGACTAAAATGAAAAATATTTACACAATTGAATAACATAAATTTAAAAACCAAGCTCTAAACAATTTTGAAAATCAATTTATTTCAATATAACACTATAATACCAATATTTACAGGAGTAATATATATATTAGAACAGGGTAAAAATGACTTCTGGTTACAATATAGGGTATTCATTTCATTTCTCCTTAAATGCAACAACAGATTCATCAAAAAGAAAATGACATCAGAATAACAAAGCTGGTGCAGAAACAAGAGGTCTCACTGCAGCAAACTCTACATGTTTCTGAGTCACAGCAGGTGGAGGATCCACAGTAAAAAGCACAGGGTGGTAAATGGAACCATCATGATTAATCAGGTTAATCGACTACTGCAGTTATTGTCAACTAATCTAATAACTGATTGCTAACTGCAGGTTACAGGCTCTAAAAAAGGCAGTTTTCTGACTGCAGATTCGTCTTTGCTACATCATCAACCATATGCTCCAGGAAGGCTTAAAATGTTTCTTTTATTATTTAAAAAACAATTTAAATTATTATCTTTTAATGTGATTCTAATATTGTTGAAAACACCGTAAGTGGTTAAATGAAAAATCAACAGAATGTAATTTTTTTTTATCTGAATAATTGATAAATCAGAAGAATAATCGATTCATAAAATAATCATCAGTTGTAGTAATACAACTCCTAAAGTGCTTTTTCCTCCCAATAAGCATTAAATTGTCTGGTAACATTTTAAAGTGTCTTTGTGAGTTTGCTGCTTTTTGATACGTTGAAAGAAAACAATACTTATTTTCCCAGAATACAATTTCCAATTTTTGTGTAATTTCTGCCCAGTATGTCTTAAAAACTGAGCTGGTTTTCTAATACAGTAATTATCCCTGTTATTTATTTCTAGAGATTTTAGTAATTTTTGTATTGGATGATTTGTGAAATCCTGGAGTTTATTTTTAATCTATTCTTTGAAACCTCAAATCGAAGGAAGACTTTAAATATGTAAAAATCAAAAGTCTTCTTTAAGCAAACAGAATGATTAAAGTGTTTCTGAACTGGGCCAAATGTCTTCTTCCCACAGCTGGCCAGGAGAGGGTGCTGTGTGAACAGCTGACAGTTTTATTTATTCATTATTTTTACACAAATGTTTATAATAGTGATTTTAAAATACACTGCTGTAAACATCCAGGATGTGGAACTTTATTAGTAAAACTGTAACAGAACAAAACAAATGGGATCAGTTTCATGTTGTCTTAATTTCAGTTCAGTTCACAACAAATGTTGTCTTGAGGCACTTTGCAAAAAAAAAAAAAAAATCATTTCAAGTTATCTATTATTTTAACTATTTTAAAAAGTTTTTATCTAAGGAAACCCAGCAGAGCTTTTAGTCGTTGACCAACAGCATTCAGTCCTCCTGAACCAGCAGGGGGCGACAGCAGACAATGGCTTTCGTTGAGTTGTTGACTTTCCAGCCCCATACCGAGCATGCATGTGTCGACAGTGGAGAGGAAAAACTTCTTGTAGCAGGAAGAAACCTCTATCAGAACCGACTGGAGGTTTGAAAAGACGGAGCAGAGTCACAAGACGATGATGTCATGGCTTTGCAGGGTTCTGATTGGTTAACAGGAGGAAAACCTGGGGACGTATTTTAAGGCAACACATCAAACTTTCTGGGTTCCTGTGTGACATCATGGAAACATCAAAGAATCAGGAAGAGAGCTTTAGTTTTACTGGAGCAGACTTTATTTTACAGATGTGAAACTTAGCGAAACAAAACAGGAAATTCATGTCAGGTTTTATCAGATTGTCGCCTACAGGAACAATCTGAATGATGGAAGCTGGTAACACGTGATCGGCTTTATTAAAAACATGAATTAGGTTTTTATGTTTGGTCTGTGGAGAAAGCTGTGATCATATTTAAATCGGTTTGAGAGAGTTTTGCTTCATCTGCAGGGAGCAGAAAAGTTACTCGGCATTGATGCATATTTATGTTAAATCCCACACTGATGCATTTTTCTCTTAGTTTTTTTGTGGTGAGTAGAATAATAAGTCGAGTCTGATCTCTGAAGGTGAAGTTCCATCAATCCTTTATGATAGAAAATATGGAAGAGCAGCAGAAAAGATGCAATATTCTGTCTGCCATCCATCTGGAAATATTTGTCTCATGGTGTTGTGGTCTTTGTTTGTCCCAGGAGAAGGGCGGGGCTGTGTTGTAAATGTGACTGGTCACGATTAAAACATCAACAAATTGGTGCCATTTTGAGTTATTTACAGATTCTGGAAATGATTTTAAGCTTTTCAGTGATAGAAAACATAAAAATCAAAGAAGTTCTTCACTGTGCAATATGTGCAATAATAACATTTTAGGCCTATTTATAATTTAGAAACGTAATGAAAGAAAAATTGACTTGAGTTACTTTGACAGAAAGCCTGATGAGAATAATTATTTAGTTTCAGGTGTTAAGATGCAGTTAATCAGCGCGGGGCCCGGCGCTGCTCATGTCAAATTGCACTCAGCACAGCAGGCCTACATCTGCATGTCTGTGGCATCTGATGTATTTTAATAGTATTCTAAAAACAATAAAAGTGTAGCAACTCGCTCTGAGAAACTGGAAACTGTTTCTGACATGACATGAATTCCTCCGCTTATGAAGATCCTGAATTTGTTTTCTTTCACCGATTCCTTCAGCTTTTCCTTTGAGTGAGCAGCCTTCAGCCGCTCATCTTAGTGTTTTTAAACGCAATCCTTTGGGAAGATAACTGCACTTTGAGCTCATGTCACGGCATTTAAACGCTCGATGCAGTACTGACCACAAGGGGGCGCCTGCAGACCACCAGCTTAATTTACTCCTTACATCTGAATGTAGCTGGTAGAGCGCAGTAGAAGCCGGATGGGGCCGCCTGCGGTCCGGGGGCCGCCTGCGGTCCGGGGGCCACATTAGCCGTTCTGTCTTATCACACAGGGCAGCAGGGGCCGGATGGGGACCGTCTCTGCTCTGGGGGCCGTCTCTGCTCTGGGGGCCGCCTCTGCTCTGGGGGCCGTCTCTGCTCTGGGGGCCGCCTCTGCTCTGGGGGCCGCCTGCGGTCCGGGGGCCACATTAGCTGTCCTGTCTTATCACACAGCGCAGCAGGGGCCGGATGGGGCCGCCTGCGGTCCGGGGGCCACATTAGCTGTCCTGTCTTATCACACAGAGCAGCAAGGGCCGGATGGGGCCGCCTGCGGTCCGGGGGCCACATTAGCTGTCCTGTCTTATCACACAGCGCAGCAGGGGCCGGATGGGGACCGTCTCTGCTCTGGGGGCCGCCTGCGGTCCGGGGGCTGCCTCTGCTCTGGGGGCCACCTGCGGTCTGGGGGCTGCCTGCGGTCCGGGGGCCACATTAGCTGTCCTGTCTTATCACACAGCGCAGCAGGGGCCGGATGGGGCCGGTCGAAAGGCTCGGTGCAGCGAAGCTGAGCAGCTGCTGATGAGGTGGGAACTAAAGACGCTGAAGATGTTTGGACAGAACTACTGGGTCATTTAGCAGAAATTTGCAGGACGTTTGAGCTGAGTAACACCCTGAGTGCCGTCGGGCCCCCGCCTTCTTCACATCTAACAAACTGGCGTCAAACGTTTGTGCAGTTATCATTTTAATGATGTTAATAAAACCTCCACCTTCTTCAGATCAAAAGAATTTGGTTTATCTGCTCCATTTGTGCTACTTTTGCTTTGAAGATATGAGTGAAAGGTCAATAGGTCAACCAGCTCCCTTATATTACCCAACTCTAACAAATTTGGTCAGTGAACATTTTTGCAGCAAAAGTATCAGAGTTGATTGACACCAAACTGAACTTTGTATCACTACGTGAGCTGTAATGGTGCATCGTTATCAATAAATTTAAAGTTCAGCACATTTCCGTTTAAATAAATGAACGTTTTAAGTCGGTTCAATGTGTTTCTCTCTGTCTGCCGATACTAAACCTCAGATATCGAAGGTAAAAACAGTGAAAAAGAAAAGCTCAGTTTTAGTTGGATCTTAAACTGTTTAGCTGCAGCAGAGTGAAGAGCAGATCGACGAGGTCGTGAGATTATCCAGCGTTTTGTGAGGGAGAGGAAGAATCGAGGATCAGCCGTTCTACGGACCGCTCCACCTGCTGGTCCCGGTCCGGATGGGTTTGGGTCCGGTTTAGGGAACGTGATGAGCGAAGTGGCGGATGAATCGGAGACCAAACAGCAAACAGGCTGTTTTTAATTAAAGCTCCTGATAGCTGAACGTTTCATTAGCAAGTCAAATGAAGCAGCAAAACAACGCCTCACAGGGAGTATTTGTTCAGATAATCATTCCACTCGCTGGCGTTCACAGACTCCCAGAAGAGAGCAAAACACTTTTCTAATATAAAGATAAGTTTTATAATTACCTTTCAAATGGGCAAGGTTGTTTTCATGAGTCAGTGTTTGGCCTGCTGGGTGTCTGATAAGGCGCAGGAGGACTGGTGGCCTTTAGGTCTGAACAGAAGCAAAACTCTGCATTTAATGAATTATTTCAGGAGCTGCAGCTGAGCTGTTATGTAACAATGGCTACATGATGAAGCTAACAGGAGGACAACAACAACGCAGCGACAAACTGTGAAAACGTTCAGAGAGCCGGCGGAGCGCCGAAAACTG